CCCCCCGCCAGCGCTGCCCCGGCCGCTCCCGCCCCTCCGGCGCCTCCCCGGCACCCCCGCCCGGCTCTCCGCGCCGCCTCTGGGGATCCCAGACCCACTAAGCCCCTTCCCCTCCTCGGCAGCGTCTTACGAAGCGCTGGCGGCCACCGAGTCTGCACCCAGTCAGGAGGGAAGAGGAGGGGGAGGAGGAGGGGGAGGAGGAGAAGCATCACCATCGGCGATGCAGCTTTCTCGCGACCCGGGCAGAGAGTCTACTTTCAAGCCTTGGGTATGTACGACATTTCTCTCTCTCTCTCTCTCTCTCTCTCTCTCTCTCTCTCTCTCTCTCTCTCAACTTATTTTGACAGTCAAAATGTGCCTTAGTCATGGGTGAGCAAATGTCAGTTGGTTGGGGGTATTGCAGGGAGCAGTTTGGAGCCACATAGCACTCACTGCAAGTTAGGAAAAAAGGCCACAATTGTTCTACAACTCTTAATGCTGGTTTTCAATTAAGCCAATATTCAATGACACAAGTTGCCATTTTACCCTAGATGTCTGATAGCTGCCAATCCCTGTTTTCAGTCCCTGGGGAGATAATCAAGCAAAATATTTAATGCTGCAGAGATTTACACACCTTCTTAGCTTTCCACAGTGAATAGTTTCATTGACCTCAGTGAAACTATGTAGGAGGTGTAAAACTAAACATGTGGGTTTTAAGTCTTTGCAAGATTTTAGTTTAAATCTCTCTGTTTTCAATGGCACATAATAAATCCTTCAGGAATTGGTAATGTCATCCAAGCAGTATGCTGCCTGCCTAAGAAAGTATTTTATCTGACACTCAGTTACCAATGAACACTAGTGTATACACCTTTTCTTCCTCTTGGAGTGTTAGTGATGTGTGATTGCTTTTTCTCCACCTCGTTTTTAATGAGTGATGTAAAAATACTAGAAATGTGAAGCATGGTTGGTGCAAAGTTTGTAATGTTGAATGATAAAGTGGTTTGAACATGTTATTTGTGCTCTTAATGCTCCTGAAGTGCTTTCATGGATTAGATATCAGTTTATTCAGAAGTTTATTCAGAAGTTTCACAGCTAAAATGCCTCAGTTTAGAGAGACTTTACGCATTTAGACTCTGTCTCTGCTGATCTAGTTCATGGTTCATTGCAATTATGGAAATATAGACTGGCACTCAGCCATTAGAAACTAGACTGAGATCACCAACATGTTTGACATAGTATTTTACCTTTTCCAGTTACCACAGAGAGCCCCTGTTGCCCTGGTAATCAAATTTTTCTAGGTAATTGTTTTCCCTGCTAGTTGTCAATGTTCACAAATCAAGTTGTGGCTCACATCCTGCACGTGTTTGCATGTTTGCCTGCTGCCACACTGCTCTGCTGGTGGCTGTCTTTGAGGACCACTTTGAAGACAGGCTCAGTGTAAGTAAAATGAAGCAGACTGTGCTTCATCACCCAACCATGCAGCCTTTCTTGCTGCTCAGTCTGCAGTTCTGCATGAGACCTTACAGTCTCTCAGAGCATAATGCACCTAGTTGGAGATGAATGTGTCCTAAAAGCTCATTTAATAACAAAAGAGCAGCCACTTATGTCTCTCTTCTTTTCTACTATTGGTTGGGAAATTAAAGTTGGGGATTTGCTGAAGACTACATCTGAGATTTGCACTAGAGTAGGAGCTCAAGAATGCCACTCAAACCCCATATACTAGTGTAAACAATGTTCCCCAAAAGATATCTAAGAGTTGTTGACTATATAGTTTGAGACTTTGTTCATGGGAATTTAACCACCCCAGGAATCAACAGCATTTAGAATTTTAGTAAAGGATGTGAACATAAAACATATTTTGACTTTGCAGACAGAGCTTGGTGAAAATGTTGTCACACCCTAAACTGTGTTGCTGGCTATTCACAGTCCATTTTTCTGAACTGATATCAGTTATCAATATTTCATCAGTCACTCCATATCCAGGTTTCCTTAACATCTCAGTATTCCAGTTTCTGCCCTGTTCCTACTGAATTCTGTGACAACTTTGCAATTGATTTCAGATAGCATTGCAGGTACCTGCCCATTCTCACATGCATTTCCCTTGCTTAGGTATAACATTTGAGTTTATGTCAGAAAATAAGTTGTAGGAATAAGAAGTCACAACTCTTGAGAAGCTTTGCTAAATGCAGTCCTCAAGTAGCTCTCCCTGTACTGTTTATTTTAGGGTAATGGGCATCACTAAAGAAGATGAGCTTGCCTGTGCAAAGTGCCAGAGCGCTCGAGAGGAGTGAAGGCTGCAGGATGGGGAACTGTGCGGACTGCTGAAAAGCAACAGAAGAGTGGGTAGAGTAACAATGCTTTGCCTGACATCAGAATCACAGGATGGCTGAGTTTGGAAGAGTCATCCAGCCCAACTCTCACAGCACAAGAAGGGCCACCTCAATTGTTTTGCTCGGGATGGGCATATCTGGATGTTTCTTAATATCTCCAAGGATGAAGACCACCCCTCTGGACTAATTATTCCAGTACTCAGTCACCTTCACAGTTCCCTGATGATGTTCAGAGAAAACCTCCCATGTTCTAAATTGTTCCATGTCCATTGCCTTTGGACCTCTCACTTGGCACCACTGAAAAGAGCCTGGCTTTGTCCTCTTTGCACATTTCCTTCAGTTAAACATGGATGAGATATGCTCTGAGTCTTCTCTTCTCCAGGCTGAGCAATCCCAACTCTCCCAGTCTCTCCTCAGAAACACGGGGCTCAGAAGGAACTTAGAGAGACAAACAAGTGAACAAACTTAGAGAACAAACAAGCAACAATTAGTGTGAGCAGAAACAGAAGTGGAACTGAGCGAGTGGGTGCAGAGGAGAAGGATGACTGTCTCTTGCTGAAGTAGGAACTGAAGAAATGGAAAGTTAAAGATTATTTTTCCTAACATTAGTACTCTTCCTGGATCTTGCCTGTGAGAAGACAACCATGAATTTACTGAACAAGGAGAAAGAGGAAATACTTAAAACACATGCATGCACACTTGCACCACCTCTTGTAGCACACTCAAGTCATGCTCCTGCAGTCATCTTGCTGCAGGATGCTTTGACAGATGTCCACTAAAGCAGAAGGCTTTACTGTGAGCAGCACGTGCTAATTCAACCAACGACTTATACAAGGAACAGCTGATGTAGTACCCTCAGAAATGCATATTTAGTATGGCCCTAGAATGAAGTCAGTACATCCAGACACTGGAAAATATTCATATGTATCAGTTTTTTCACTACTAAAGAGTGTTCACTGGCTTTAACTGCAATTTTATAAATCCTAACAAATTTTATGCTCACAGAAAACCAATTTCTTACACATGACTAATTTCAGCATGATGAATTTAAGCATATGATGGAATGTGGCAGTGGAACCCTGAAATATCTTGTATGTTTTTTTCTAGCAGAAAACAGTGGGTATACATTCTCTATGGTGTTTATACCTGCAAATCCCTCCAAAACGAGGAATATATGCTCCTCCAAACTTTATATCCCTTCCAAAGCCAGGCATAGGTTTCTCTCTGACCTCAATATTAAGTCTTTATGCTACGAGGAGATTGCTAAGTTTATATTGGCATTATTGGAAGTAACATCTCTAAATCTCAGTTCATTGCAGTTAAGAATATACTACTTCAGAGGTTGCATTTTACAGAGACATGAAAATCTGGTACTTGACAACCAGCTATAGACGACAGTTACCTCTATTCATGGTTCATTTACTGTAAAACCAGTTTAAGAATGTATAAATAAGCCTGTACCAAAAGAAAAAAAAAATAAAAATCACTAGGCTCTTAGGAAGCTCAACAGTTAGGAGGCTCAGTCCTTTTGTATTGGTCCAAAAAATTTCTAAACTACAGTAAAAACTAACATGCTGCATACCCAGATTAGAGCAAAGTAAATTATCCAGACTACATGCTGTGTTTTAAGTAAAACTAGATATGAGAAAAATAATAGCCACAACAGCTAGAATAGAATTCTTTTCTGCATACCTCTGTTTTGTTAAAAAATCCCCACCTTTACAGTATTTGATAATCTATATTATACAATGTTAATCTCATGTTTTACTCATCAAAAATACAATAAATGATAGCACTTGCAAAACAAAAAGATGGTGAAGGTTATTTCTTTTGCCTGAGAAAGAGCAAAATGTGTTTTTCAGTTCACAAATCCAATGACTCTCTAAACAATGAAATAAAGAGCAACATCACTGAAAGCAATGACCTTTCTCCAGCTCAACAAAACCATCCTATTTTTTTAATTCCTACCCAAAACTTTAATTTCATAACTTTGAAAAATTACTTGTTGCAGCAAAACTGTTTTAATTTACCATGGGTTTGTTACACTGTGTCTGTGACTGCTACAAATAACAGCTTCCTATTAGCAACATCCTACAATAAGATACCATCAGGTAGGAATTGTTCAGTCAGAATGAGTTTGCTGGGATTGGTTGCC